AATTTTCAATGACAAAATTTTAAGATAATTCGAGTTGTGATTTCTAAGAAATTTTTAAGTGAGAAGATTAATTTAAAATACTATCAGCTTATTAGAGTATTTATAAAAAATTTTAATATAATAAAAAATTTCCTTTTCTTCTAAAAAAATTCTTAAAAAATAAAAAATCAATAAAAAGTTTTTTAAAAAGGATAAATAAAACATTCAAACTAATATTTAATCATTTGCATCACTTGCATATCATTTAATTTTTGAAAAATAGATACGAGCCTCCGAAAATGGGATTTAAGAAAATTCGAACAGTAATTCTTAAAAAATCTATAAGTGAGAAAAATTCATTTAATGATTACGATCATACTAGAACATTTAAGAGTTTTTTTTATAACAAAGTTTTAATTTATTTTTCTTAAATAAAATGGATCAATCTTTAAAAAATAAAAATAATAAAAAAGAAAAAGAATTTGTAAAAGGGGAAAAAAAGTGAAATAACAAAAATGGAAGTGAAAATAAATTAAAAAAGGTCAAGGTAATTATTTTTAGATACCAAAATTAAGATATTTTAATCAAAATTAAAGGATAACACATAATTGACTGGTACTTTTTTTTATAGGTGTTGTGAGGGTACTAATATTTTCCTACGCATAATCGACTCCAAACCCAAATTGTTTTGGTAGACCCAAATATTATCTTTTCAATAAATTTTAACTAATTTTAAGATTTTATTTTTAAAAAGAAAGTTTTAAAAGGTGGCTAATTGCATCTAGCTAAAAAAAATATTAATGTTGACTCTTTTTTATGTTTTTTCAAAATTTATCTAACAACCCTCAAAATCGTTATGACAATGAGATATTAAGAATGTCTGAGAAGTGAGTTTTTAATATCTCTAGGTGAAGATATTTTTCTAAAACATTGCAAAATAATAGAGTATTTAGAAATTTTAATATAAAGGTTTTCAAAAAAAATAATAAAAAGATAAATATAAAGCTGATAAAAGGAATTTTTTTTAAAAAATTTCAATAATCAATATTTTAAAAAATAAAAAATAAGGAAAATAATTTTTTTTATCTGATGATACGATTTTAAGGTAATTCAAGTAGTGATGCCTAAGAAATCTTTTGGTAAAAAAGTTTTTTTTTTTTTATAAATATTACTAGTATATTGGAGTATTTATAAAAAAATTTTGATAAAATAAAAATTTTTTCTTGTAAAGAATTTTTAATAAAAAAATTAAAACAATTAATAAATTTTTTTTTCTAAAATAAGAGGTAAATTAAAAATGTGAACCAATATTTTATTATTTGCATGGCATGCATAGGACCTTATTTTTTAAAAGTAAACATGAGCTTTTGAAAATGAGATTCTAAGATAATCTAATTCAAGTAGCGATACCTAAAAAATCTTTAAGTGAAAGAAATTCTTTTAATGTTACAATATATTTTGACATTTTAAAGTTTTTTTAATAATAAGATTCTAGTTTATTTTTTTCTCAAATATAATAGAACAATAAAAATAATAAAAATAATAAATAAGAGAAATCAAGGAAATTATTTTTAAATATCCAAATTTAATATCTTTTTTGTCAGAATTAAATGATAACATATGATTAATTGGTAATATTTTAAATAGACACTGTAGGAGTGTTAATCTTTTCCTACACATAATCGACTCTCAAATCCAAACTATTTCGTAAACTTTAAAATTATTTTTTTAATAAATTTTAAGATTTTATTAAAATAATAAATTTTAATAGATGATCAATTATACATAATAAAAAAAAATAATGATGACTCTTTTAGTTTTCAAATTCGTAACGATCCTAATGTTTGATCATTTTTAGTGGAAGACATTTGTTGTGCAAAATTATGATGCCCACGAGTTGTACTGAAATCATAAATCATGATTCCTCATTTTTTTTTAAAAAAACAATGAAAGAAAGAAAAATTCGACAAAAATTGCAATAAAAATGAAATGAAAAACGAGACAATTTCTTCATTTATTTAAAATTTTCTCTTTTTCCATGATTTCCTCTTTTTTTCAATTTTTTTCCATGAATCCAAAGACTAGACTACAATATAAACAAATGATATTATAAAGCTAGATCATGTCTTATCAAAATAAATAAATAAAATTATTGTCAATGGAGTTTGGTTTTGGATTTCAGATTCTATGTGTTTATCTTCAAGTATTGAGCCCTTCACTGCTTTCAACAAATTTTTGCTTGATTATGATTTAGTACTTGGTTGAAATTTTAGAATTTTGTCAAGAAAATTATAAAATTAATTTGATTTTTATTAAGTAAACATGATTGTGATTTAAAATTATAAAATTTGGTATTTGGTTGAAAATTTAAAATTTTATCAAAAAAATTATAAAATTTATTTTACTTATATTAATTAAATATGATTGTGATTTCAAATTTATTATAAATTTCTTAATTTTAAAGATTTATAAGTAATAATTAATAAATATAACAAATTGAAAAATAACAAAATGATTTTAACTTTTCTTAAATTGTAATGCATAAAATTAAATTATAAAATAAAAAAATAATTAATTAATAATTTTAATTTAAAAGAGATCAATTTAAATTTATTTTATATATATTAAGTGCTATTAAAAGTTTGTCGGCAAAGACCCCTCTAGCTTTAACGATGCACTACCACTAGAGTAAACCATCATTATTGGCATAGCCAAAACCAGGCACAGTTTTTGTGGGAAAATTGTTGGGTAACACATTTTTTAAGCTGACATAATTTAGATTAAAATAAATTGAGATAGTGGCTTAATTAATCTCAACAGATTAGGATTACTTGTGATGGAAAAGATAATGGAATTGTTTAGCATTAGTGGGAGTGGGTGGATTGGATTGTGGGAAATGGTGTCCCTTTTGGATTACAAAGAGTCAATAGATTTTTGTCTTAGGGCCTACTTTGCACCAATAAAGATCCTAAACACTTTGTCACATAAGTTAATAATATACATATATATTATTAATGTATAGATTGTCAAATAAGTCAATAGATTTTTGTCTGAGGGCTTATTTTTAAATTTAAATATGAGATAAAAAAATTGTATAATCCTTAATTGAGTAAGATGTGGAATATTCACAGGGGATATTGAAAAAGTTGTACTTAATAAAAATTTTTGTGTTGAGACAAATTTATTTTTGATTGATTGATTTAATTAGATATAATGACTTGTGTATTTATATAATTTTATTTTGTGTTAAAAATAAAAATTATCGTATCAAATTTATATTAATATGTCAAGCATAAAATATTTGTTATATTTATTCAATTCATATATTTTTATTAAAATTTAAATAGAATTATTTAATGGTTTTTTTGTATAATTTTTATATCGTCTGGATTCAACCTTGACTGGTTAGTGTGTTTTAAGTTTCTACATAAAGTAATATAATGTAGGATTCAAAGGGTAGATATCATGAATCACTTTTTACAAGATCAAATCAGGAGTGATGGTTGCCCTCCCTTGAACAAAAAAAAAAAAATCAAGAATGACAATTCTAGAGTTGAGCTGGGTAGATATAATTCCGTCCATATTGATAAAGGGCTGGAATCAACAAGGTCGCATTTTGAGATAGCCCAAACAAGAAAAAAGGCCAACAAATGTTTGGAAAAAAAAATCTGTTATCAACAATAGCCTCATTGTTTTCAGTTACATGATTTTTTAAAAGATTAACACTATGTTTGGATAAATGTTAATAAAGGAAAGGAAAGAAAAAGAAAGGAAAGGAAAGGAAAAGAAAGTTTTTTAAAAGAAAAGAAAGGATACATGTATCTCTTGTTTGAATAATTAAAATTAATAAAGAAAAAGAAAGGAAAAGAATTCTAATATCCATTGTTTGGATAAAGAGTGAAAAAAAAAGGAAATGATTCATTATAATAATTTTTTTTAATTATAACTTTTCATTGTTTATGATTTTAGAACACTTTTGGACCATAATATGTTTGCTATCTTGTCTAACTTTACAATTGCTACTATATCAATGGTTTTTAATTAAGTAAAACAAAAAGATGTTTTACAAACATGCATTGATGGATTTGTTGGCCATTATCAAAATTTTAGCATATTATCACTTTGGCGATATATTCATATAAAAGCTATTAAATATAAAAAATGCAATCACATAAAAACATTACATATAAGTGAATTATATATCTTTTTTGCACCAAATAAAAAGTAATAACATATCACCATATAGTTGTCCAACATAAATTTATTTTACTAAAATAAAAAATAAATATTTCTATCCTAAAAAAAATAAATTTATTTCAACGAATTAAAAACTTATGTAGCAAAGAAAATTTTGACTAGATGAACCAAACACTAACCTTTCAACAACCTCCTTTCTTTTATCTCATGGACATCTAAGTACTGCTCTTACTTTCTCAAGATTATCAATAAAATATAGGTAAGCAATAGTGATTCGTTACGAGTCAATTCCTATCTCCTCCAATAATCATAGCCAAGTTAATTATGTTTCAATGAAACATCTCCCTTTTCCCATTCTTCTTTCTATAATGTTATGAAATTATTCACATCTCAAACTATAATATATACATATAAAAATAAAAAATTTTAAGTTAGTTTGACATTTCCTAAAACCTAAAAAATATGTTTATTCATATTCAATCATTCATCAACATCAAATCACGAAAAAATTATAAAAAATTTTTATATTAAAAAAGACATGTGAAACTTACTTAAAAAAAATGACTTTGAAAAATTACAAAAAAATTATGATGTGATTAAGTTTTTTTTACTAAGTTTTTGATATTAATAAAAAGTTAGATATAATAGTCCTTTTACAAAAGTAAAATTTTTTTAACTTTTTTTTTCTTAATTTTCTTTCAAATTGAAATATTAAAAAAATAAAAATTATAAAAAAATAAAAAATTATTGAGAACCTCTTTGTTTTCCTTTAAATTAAAAAATTATCTGGACAAAAATTTTTTTTTTCTGTTTCATTACTTTCTTTTATTTTCCTTTCCTTTCCTTCCCTTCCCCTCGATCAAAAAAATACCGTAAGGCTCTGGGTATCTTTTATCAAATTCCTTCTTATGTTGTCCTTGCTTTCGGTTTATCTTGAAGTTCATTTCTTCTTCATTGCCACAACAGATTTCGATTCGTTATTTCTGTGGCCTGTTGGGTCTTAAGAGAAAATCCAACTTTTATCGCTTTGTATACTTGAATTTGATTCAATAAGTTGAACCTATTTCGTATTTTTTGAAAATTCAATTGGGTTTTTCTTTTTTAACTCTCATTGCTATTCATTAGCTACAAAGTGAAAAATCAAGTGTTTTATTTTTGGATGGAAGGTGGGGTAGAGAGTGTAGATTACACCAGATCTTCCCTTGCTTTCTGAATACATCATTTTGTGGGGGCATATGGAAGATTCCACTTGAGGTTATGCTCAAACCTTTAACTGGAATTTTTTTTGTTTGTGACTTAGTTTGCCTATGTTGTTGGTCCTTGATGTAAAATCCTTTACTTTGTTGGACATATGGTGCTATTGTCTTAACTCTTAACATACGCAATTATTGATAGTCTGCTATTGTGCTGTGAAGACATTATTGCTTTTATGGAAGGCAATGGTTGTAACTCTAAGTGGTTTCTATAATGTGCTTTAAAAGTTAAAGTACTGATCAACACTTACATGAATTTATGTATGTATTAATGTATAAAATCATTGCGGTTTCATATTAAGACATGTGTGCTTTACCCATATATGGAGAGTCAAAGTTGCAAGCTTAGGTCCTTATGTATGGCGACAAATTATTGTTGAATGTTAAGTTCAAGGAAATTTAGAATTGGCAGTTTCCAATTTTCTAGACAGGGAGAATTGGGATTGTGTGAGGACAACCCTTGACATGGACCATTGTAAAGTGCAACTTCCATAGAGATCAAAGTAACAAGCTAGAATTCACTAATGAAGAGATTTAAACATTGAGAAGCTTTTTGTCATTCCTTATTATGACATTTGTGTTTCTGGTATTGCCTCATTAATTAGCGCATATTAAAGTGCGATACTTTTCTTCAAGCTCAACACATTTTTGAGGACACAAAAATGAACAAACCAGTGGTGGTGATGGAACAGCGTCAGCCAACATAAGTAATGGTGATTGGCAAGACAATAGAATTAGGGGCCTTTCGATGGCTTGAACAATTTTTAGAACTATTTTCAGCTTTATGTTATTGGGATTTTGTACTCAAAAGTCGTTTAGCTCAGACTTGATGTCATAAAAGACTAAAAGTTTCTCAAATTAGTAGTGTTTACTGGATCCCTTTTTGCCAGTTACGTAAATTTACAACTAAGCTATAGAATTAAGGTGTTTAAGCTTAGCTGATGGGTGGAAATATAACATATTGTGCTGCTGATGTGGTATATCAGTATAAAACCCAACCCAACCTAAGCCGAGAACATTAGGCATTATAGGCCATATTTGCTGATGATGCTAGCCATGCTGACTCATAAAAAATTCTTAGAGGTTAAGTTCCAAAATGTATGGTTCTTTTTTTGCGAATATGCATTTTAAAATATTACTTTTCGTCCTTTTTATTTGATTTTTATGTTCTATAAAATACTTTCATGTAGTAACAGGTTTAGCTTTTAGTAAAAGCATCTTAAATCAATGATCCACTTTGGCAGTTAGCCCATTGGCAATGTGGTATTCCTTTTTCTTTTAATATTTTTATGACACATAATGCTGCATTCACTTATCACAAACTAAGATTTCAGGTTCAAGATAGATTTCTTTGCAGGTCTCTTTTTCTGGAAAATCTTTTAGATGTTGCATAGAGCATTTTATTTTTATATTCTAATTAGTATATGTTGAAGTTACGTCATGTCTAATAAGGTTCTTTTATTTCTGAAATTTTACTTGTGCTGTTCAAACCTTAAATTGGAATTCTAGATCATGTGAACTAATTATAGAGGATAATGCTTTGATCATCTATGTATAATGAAATGATACAATAACATGAATGGGATTCCATGCTAATGATACAGTCATGTTTAAAATCTCCAAACTTTGTTCATGTCCTTATAGAAGATCCAATTAGATAAAATAAAAGAAAATTTTACATTGGGAAAATGTATCGTTCATCATAAAAGCAAATGAAATTATTGTTGAAGAAGGTAGTTTTGATAAAAGCTTGTAAAAGATTCCATTAATTCATCAGGTGCTAAAGCTTGTCAACAACCTTTAGGAGCTCAATTACTGCCAATTTGATAACATAATTCTTCTTAGAATTTAAAGTAAACTTCAAAATACTGAAATGGGAAAATTTTCATAACTCTTTATTTGAGATTCATTCCGTAAGTTGAATTGGCAAAACAAGATTCAAGCATGGTGATTTATATACAATTGTACATTTCCATCCATAACCATTTTTGCATGAACAACCACTCCTGGAGCTAATCCCTTGATGTACTGTTTTTTAGTCTAAAAATTTGTCATTGTAGCTGACAGTGCATCTCATCAACAACTTTTACTTGCCAGCTCCATAATGCACTCAACTCTTGTTACTAATAAAAATAAGAAATGCGGATAAGCCCTATTAAGAAATTTAAAAACATAGTTATGTTGTTTGAGTGGATTTTGTGTTTAGCTTTCCTAAAACAAATAATTAGATACAACAGAAATTTTAACTTCATTTTCATTCTTTTTTTTTTTTACCCTACTCATGTGCAGTAAAGAAAAGTCTTCATTTTGGTGGAATGCAAATTTATGTTCCAAGAATAATTTGTTCTTGTTATTATCATGATTTTCAATTCCATTTACTTCATTCAATTGTTCAGGGACACGAATTTAGGCTCCATGTGGTGTTAGCTTTTGTTTTAGTAATGACCAATTGATCTTTATACTGTATAACCACTATGTCTTTGTGAGGTTTTAGTGTAAGTTGATGCTGAGTACTTCATTTCAGATCAATAAGTTTGTTTTGAAGTTTCAATTTATTGGTTCTTATTTCCAATTGGCTTACTTCTTTTTAGATCAATAAATTTATTTTTGTAAGTATTTGGGCAACTTATTGGTTCTTTCTATACCCAAAATGGTTCAAGCTGTTAATGATACTTCTTTGTTGTTTTACTTGCCTAGTTTCTTCTATCATGTTGCCACTGCAAGAAGTTAATGCTACTGAATCTCAGTTTCAATAAATTATTCAGTCAGCAAGAGCAAAATAGCTTGCTTTTTTGAGTGATATCAGACCTCTATTACCAAAATTAATCCGGCTAGGTAACCAAAAATAAAAAGTTTATTCTAAAGCAAGAAAGTTTATCATATTGAAGGTTGGTTGATTATTGATTTAACAGAATGTAAACATAGTGTTTACAAGTGATAGTTGGAATGTTGTAGAGCTTGAAAGTGCTATAAAATGCTAGAAGGCTGTAGGTATGGTAGGTGAATGAGGATGCCAAGATGAATATGTTGAAATACAAGAATATCCCAAAAATAAGATTTAATATGCATCCATTAGAAGTTTGAATTAAATTAATGAAGGGAAGGAGTTTCTGATGATATAGCATCAAGGACTTAGTGACTATACAAAGAGGATATTATAAGAACAATAGAAGAGATGAGTTCTGTTAAACATTCAAAATAATATGATAGCTTGTTTTGACAGACCCTAGGGCTGCAACTTGCTGGCAAAATAGAATTGCACTGCTTATCTCAGTTCATAGGATTCTTACTTTAAAATGATCAAAGAGAGATAAGCCAAATTAATAATGCTTAGTGGAGGTAGCTGTGTGAAATACTTTGAGAATGTGGTTAGCGGGGAACTTAAGAAAAATTTGATGAGGGGAAACGAAAATAGTGTTACTTCTTTATAAAGTTTTAAATACCCTGAATGGAAGATTGGAGCGTAGGGGATTTTGCCATTGCTACTAAAAGTTGAGATGATATATGTTGATGAACCAAATTTAAGATCCATCATCAGGTTTCATCATTCTTGTTCATAGTTAAACTACCAAAATAAGCCTTTAGATTGAGACAAATCCTAGAGTTACTTTGAATGCATCAGCAAGGCAGATTATACATTTGATTACTTTTTATTAATAAGCGTTTTAAGTGGGCTACTTCACTATATGCTCCCAAATAATATCTCATACAAGAAAAATATAGTACTAAGAATCATACTATATGGAGCAAAAGTTAATTATTGACATTCATGCAAGGGACAAAGTTTTGGAGGATTTCGGAAGATTCCTATATATTTATATGTATATAGAGGTCCATGGATACAATTAACTAACATTGCTAGTGGAAGAGGAATCTGAATAAATATCTATCTAGTAAGATATAAGTTATGGAACATTCATTCTTAAGAAGTCTATTATGGCCTTAGATATCATTGTTCTTTTTGGGAACTATCTTCAACTTTAATCCTAGATGGCATGAAGATAATTTGGGGCAATGTTTTCGTTTGAGATATGTTGGAGGATTTGTCTGTAATTTTGAAGAGGACATATGCTATACCAATAAGCCCATGCCCTTGGTTTGATTGTCATGAGTATCCAAGATTCTTAATTAATCAAGATAATGTTAAATTGAATTTCACAGAGAAATGTATTTGCCTAAAAATCATAAATCACTGACAAGAAATCTTGTAAGCTGGTTCTATGAGATATTAAAGATGTTTAGGTATCTCATTCCTAGTCATCATTTAACTCGGAATAAGATACACAAAAGTAATCTTGAATATCCCAAACAAACATGCCTTTTTTTTCTTTATTTAACAAAAATAATTCAATACTTAGTCCTTTCTATAATTGTGACGAATTATGTTTCAATAAAAAAGAAAAAAATATTCTGACTGACTTATGTGAACTAGTTTCAATCTAGTGCTATTTCCTAAGAACTAACAAGGCCATCATTTAGTATGGGGCACAATAATTTAATAGATGACTTATTGATATGTTGTTGTTCATGTCAATGTTCACAGTAAAATTTCTGGTTCGTATGATTCCTTTAACTTTAAGATGTTTTGCTTGAGATTCTTTGTTGAATATTAACCAAAATTAATTGAGATAAAAAATTATTGTATAGATTTGAATGGTAAGGTGCAATTGTAGCACTACCAAGATACAAAGAGGTTAACCAGTCCTTAGAAAGTGGTCTTTTAAAGTGAATACTAACAAGACCGATTAGTTGGCGAGGATTCCACTAAACTAGACCTGGAACTTAATTTCTCAGTCATAGTTGACTGTGGTGTCAGAGGAGTATCAGTCTCAAAACTGACATATATCTGTTGAATTACCATTACCTAAACTCAGTAGCTTAAATGCAGAAGTACATGAGATTTATAAAAGCTACTGCTCCTGGTTACTCATAGGGACTAGAAGCCTCAAAATAAATGATGAGGAATCTATGTGTAAATGAGTGAAGGCAAAGCAACGATGCTGAACGTATGACAGACCAGAAATTGATATTTTGAGGGCCTGAGGATCAGGTTGGAACTTGTGAAAAAAATAAGCTTGATGGGACCAAACTTTTGAGCTATTGAATAATGACCTCCACAAATCTTTCCACTTTAAATGGCTGAACTTTGTTCTTGTATATCTTTTCCTTTGTGAAAAGTGCAAAGTGCTATCTGCCTTTTCTCTAAGGTTCTACTGTCAGTGCACACTTAACTTCCCAATTTTCCCCTTTTAACTTTTCATTTTTTAGCTTGTGTGAAAGCATGGAACAAATGTCTCAACTGTTCAATTGCTGAAGAGCTTTTATTGTTGGTTGAGAGACTGTAAACATTAACTCAACATAGCAAAATCTAATTGCACCTACTGAGTTTTGCTACTTTTCTCAGTGCATGCTGTGGCTCAACTTGTGTTTATTTGAGGGATATGTTAAAGGAAAATTTTAGCAATTGTAGGATATCCACTTCAGTTTTTGTTGATGACAGATATTTTGCCATATATTTCACCATGTGGATATCTTCGGTGGTATAATCTTTGTGAACAAAAAGCATGAAGCTAAAGTCATTATTGCTTAAATGAGAAATTTACAAAAGATACATGTGAACTCAAACCAATAGAATTGGAACATAGTCAAATTTGAATACCGCAAATTGTATATTGAAGGGTATCACTTTTGTGGGTAAAGTGATAGCTCCCTTGACAATGTTATGTGTCTCTTTACATGTGGCTGAACTTTGTTTCCTTTATGCATATCCCTTGGAAAGTGAAAAAAAGCGCAGCATCATCTATTAAAGATTAGTAAGAGCCGACCTTTCTTTTGTTGAGTAGCTCCTTGAAGTTGGCTTCTCATTCTACTCAATGCCAAAACGCTAGACATCTTTAATGAAGGCTGGGAACTGACCAGTCTACATCAATACCCCTAGCCATCCACTGAAAGAGTGAGTGACCATACTGATCATTAGCAAATAGAATCTTACTTGAAGTGCTGACTGTATGGAAAAAAAGCACTGATACTTTACAAATGGCGTTGCAGAAGTGGATAATTCAAACCTCTAGGATAAAGGAGGACCTCAACTTTAAAGTTAAAAGGCTCAACAAGGGCTGATGATATTCACAGAATGCATCAGGTATGATCCACAGTAGCCATGAATTAAGGTCCTCCAGTAACCCTTCTCTCAAATGTAATGTTGTCTTTTTCTTTTTCTTTTTTTTTTTTTCATTTGTACATTACAAGAAAAGGAGAATCCTACTTTAGAGCTTTTAATGTTTGAGTATATATGCAAAGGAGGTGGCAACTTTTCTGCCCTTTTCCTAGCTACATGAGTGAGAAGATTTATTATTATTTTTTTTTGATAATTGAGGCTGCCAGGTATTGTACCCTGATTATTGGAACTAAGAGTCCAATACTCTACTAACAAATCACGACTGTTGGCACATAGAAGTTGTTGACTGTGAGGGATGGTGCTCATGTAATCATTACTGTGCATATTAAGCTGATATTAATGGTATATGCAATAACACTTTTCTGGAATGATTGTCTTGGTACAATTTTTCTCTAAATACTGCACCAAACAGAGCCAGAATGGTGATGGGGCTCACTATTTGCTTCTATTGCCTGTAGTGTTGCTTTTTTACCCTTTAATCCATGTTCAGATCTGCAATATCAATCATTTAGTAGATATGTAGCAAACCTAAAGCTTCCTTAATGTAAACTCCTTAAGTCTTAAGGATTAATTGTCATGTAAGCTTTACACGTTCTAGATGTTGATAACTGAAACCAAAGAATCTAAGTCTGTGATGTATATTTGCATAGAAAAGTGCCTTTGAATATTTTTATTAGTAGCATCACTAGGTGCTTTTCATATTTCTGTCTAATATGAGGTACAAGGCATGTGATGACTGTTCTTATCAATGAACAAGAAAATAGATTCCTGTAATGTTTAGTATAATCCATAATGATAAGCAAACGGTCTACAGGTTATGTCCTATTTTGTGGGGGATTATATGTGGCTGGATGTATATGATATTGCCTTAGGGACTTTCCCTGAAAAGCCAAGATCCCCTTTCTTCTTTATTATGGCTAAACTTTTTTCGGAAACACTTCCATTACTGACCTGTCTTTAATGCTGTTTTAATAGCTATCTCTATTTCCTGCACGTTAAATTAGCTTATTATGGTTCAACCGTATGAGCAAGACCATTCTATGTTCCTTATAGGAATAGCAGTGGAACATGCTGCTTTCATTCCAATATTCTTGATCTCTATATCTCTCTCATTGTCATAGCCACAGTACCCTTTCATTTGTGACTTCATACTGCTTTTTTTTTTTTTTTTAGCTTAAAATCCAAATTGAGGAAAAGATGAGAGAGGGTAATTTGAGATAGTTTAGATATGTGAAACGTAGGCCTATCTATACACTAAATGAGCTTTTAGATTTGGGAGAGAGCAAAGCTTCTAGAGATAGATCACGAAAAACTTGGATGGAAGTAATAAAAAATGATACGAGAGTTTAAGAAGTAGATGAAAATATTGTTTTTATAAAAATGAGTGGCACAAAAAAGTTTAAAACTACGACCTAACATGAGTATTTTTTTGGCCTTTCATACAGTCGACCCAAGAGTTATAAGATATAAGGTTTAATTTGTTGCTGTTGTTATTGTATTGGTGGTATAATTTTTGAGTTACATGATTATCAAGAAAAAGAGAAAAAGAAGTACCAAAACCAAGCTGCTTTGTCCTTTTTTGAACGGCGACACTTTTCTGCTTGTCCAAGGTGGTGCACAAGGTATCTTCACGCAGAGAAAAAGATTGGGGCTAGCCAAATGGCCCTTCTAAGGTACGAATAATCTGGCAATAAGAAGCTGGCAGAATTTTGTTATTAGATCATCTCGTCATTCACCACCTTGCCGAACTTTTGATCTTTTCTTCTCCTGAAAAGGTATAATTGTGAATTCTCTTTTCTTAAAGGTCAGTAGGAGGCCATCCATTTAGCTTGGCAAGTTTTTGATGTTTAATTTCTTTCCCTATCAACCTAATATTAGAAACTATAACAAAAGATGGAACACTGAGAAATAAATATCTGTAATTGCAAAGAACTAAATTCCAAAATTATAGGTATACTTGCATTTACAAGATAGCAGTAGCATGATCTAGACAATCAGCAAAATTACTAGACATGTACTATCTAATTGATTCAGACCAATTAGATTGAGAAATATACAGTGTCAGCATTAGAGCTTTACTATTAACTCTTACAATTCTCATCTAAAGAGGTTTCTGTTTCTTTTTTCCTTTTCATCCTGCATTTAGAATGAAGGGACAATGCCATATCCAGTTTCTGTGATTAGCGTTGTGGAGAACATCTGGTCCACTTCGACTTCCACATCTGTTCTCTTTGCAAACCGACCCTTGATTCGAGGTCTCGTTTCTGCATATGCCTTCCTTGAAGCATACCTTATTGTCTTTTCAAACTTTCTGGTCTTCTTCTTCTCTCTGTATCTCAGGACCCTGGCCTCCCTGTCCATTGGTGTAAGTTGGTGTGGCATCTGAATAGGAGGTCCAGAGAAGAGGTCAATTGTACCTTTAGGAGGCCTCGTGTGCGAGATTGAGATATCACTCATAGTTGATTCTGGCACAATGCCAAAATCCACAGAGGAAAGGGATACCTGACATGGTTCAAGGAAAGTTAGAAACATATTTACTAACTAGATAGGATTTATTAGCTATGCAATGTGCAATTCTGAGATGAAGCTGAAAGAGAAAGCAATGTGTGTCAGACTGTCAGGAAAATAGAACCATTATCATTCTCATATTTTCACAAACAGTGGAAAATACAACCACAAACTTAATATGTTTTTCATAATGTAAATCAAAAGCGGTTTAGTAGAAGGATTTATGATAGTTTTAAGTTAGCAAAATTCCTAGTCCTGGTCGACCTTCTTAGCTTGATTGTTAGGAGCTTAAAACAGAATTTAAGTTTTGAGTACAAGCACGAGATTTTAGATCCTATGTTTTTTTATCATTAAAATTTAATTTAGAACTAATCTAAACAGATGCAGTTTTCCTGCTAATATAAACCAGAATTTAAGTTTTTGAGTACAACATAAGTGAATTCAGATCCTATGTTTTTTTATCAGTAAAACTTAATTTAGAACTAATCTAAACAGATGAAGTTTTCCTGTTAATATAAACCATGATTATGTCAAATATCTGACCTGGAACAAAAGGGAAAGGAAAACAAAAGTTTCAAGATATTTCTTCCATTTGATTCTGCTCTTTATGGAAGAAAGGTAAAGTAAAGAAGAATAAGCTAATAAAGTTCAGAAGGAAAAAAGTGAAAATAAAAAGAAGATACCCCTTGGATTTTAATTTTCGAAGATAGGATACGTAGTTAGGTCCTGTACCTAAGCAAAGCTGACATATGGTGAAGCACAATTCCTTCACACAATACACAAAGATTACATATGGTACTTCAGAAATGTAGAAAACTAGCTTCACCAGGGTTAGTCATGTTTCTTGTACTCAGGAAACAACAATGGAAAAAGACCTTTAAAAGCTTGAAGAGCAAGCCCAAAAACCACAAGTATAAAACAATTACATCTTTGTAAAAAATGTGCCATGGTTAATTTCTCAAAGTAACTATTGTGGTGACTGTACAAGAGCTAGAAAACAAATTCAAGATTCCAAAACTACTGGTTGTGAGAATTGCAACGTTTAGGCTGATAAAAACAGGCTATGAACGAAAATTTTTTAGGTAGGATGAAATAAATACTATCACTGGGTTGGCATATCACATGTCTCAAAAGCTTCAAACAGAAATCAGTGAACCACTTCCTAGCAAACTGTTTGTAGTAAACCTTACGCTGTGACAAATGGAACCATTGTAGCTGTATGCAGCTTTTGAGGAATCATAATCTAGGCCATACTGAAATCTCTGATGTTGCTGCTGCTGCTGCTGCTGCAAGTGATCTTTGCCTTCTCCAGACTGAACTGGCACAACACTATCACCCCCACAACTCTTGTGTAGAATACCATAAGGTTGTTGTTGCTGGTTATACTGATCATTGAATTGATTCTCAACACTTGAATTGTATTCAACAAGGTCTAGATACTCATCAACCTCCCCACTGAACAAGAACCCATTATTCTGGTTGCTGCTATTTTTCCCAGTATTTAGCAGCAACCATGAAGCTGCCTCATCCTCCTCTTCAGCAATTGTCTCATCTCCCACCGTGGCCATAAAACCATCTTCAGTTTCAGCTGCTGATGCCACTTTTCGTCCACCTTGATCAGTGGCCGAGGGGCCATATAAGCACCCTGAAATCGGAAGAACTGTGACACGCTGGTGGCGACGTGCAAGTGGATTGGCTGAGTGGATTTCTGCATCACATGTAGCGCATAAGGATGCAGCGTCTGCCTTGCACAAGAAGGCAGCAGGTGCACGCTCACATGCCTCACACACCCACACACGTTCATGGCGCGAGGCTACCCGGTTTGCAGCATGCACACGGGCATCACATCCAGTACAGAGGTAGGCTGAGTCTGCTCGACAATACACTGTGCAAGCTGCAGAGCGGCATGTGTCACAGACACGTGCCCAATTGTTGCCACCACCACCACCACCACCAGTATCACTTGTCTCTTCTTTCAACATCTCTCACACAAGGTCTCAAAACTAAACTAACTTGGAGTGTGAGAATAAGTGAGGAAGGGAGGTCTAACTGTATGGAAAAACCCAAATGGAGAGGAGAGAATCCAGGGATAGACACATGTCAACAAGTTAGTGGCTGCAAAAAGTTCTTACGTTATCTTGTGGTTAGCTTAGTTTTGTGGTGGGCCCGGGGCCCACAGCTTCTGCTTTGGCTTTTGGATTAACGTAAAGTGAAGGAAGTTCTGAGCTACTTCTTTAAGGAGATGAAATGTTTGTACTCGCCATTGTAGGTGTGACACTTGGCAGTAAGTCATGGCTTCTGGTCCGCTATAAACTGCTAAGATTCTGTATAGAAATGGCTCTTTCTGACATGTGAGAGCCAGGTGATCATGTATCAGGTTTTTTGCTTCCCGGGGCTTTGCTTTAATGGATGAAACGGTTGTACTAGTCACTTCTCGTTTTCAACGAAAGTCTGCAGTTCCAAAGATGCTTTCCAATCTTGTTATCTATGGATCTTTCAACAGACCTCTTTCTGGTTCATGGTGTTTGATCAAAATCTGTCATTACAGTATGAACTCAGTTTGGAACGAGTTTCTTTTTATCTGGCAAGCATGGAAGAACTCTTATATGAAGTTCAAAATGTTGGACTTGTACATTAATTTAATCACGATTCTTGGGACCTTTCTTTCAAAGTCCTTGGTAAGATTTGTAATCACTAAACACTGTATTCTAAAAACAATGTTGGAATGAAACAGACGTATAACTGCATTAGCTATGCTAATTTGATGATCATTAATGATGTTAATGTCATTTAACCCTATAAACGAACCTCATTCACGTGCATGCATTCACAGTTAACTCTTAAGAAAGACCGTAAAGAAACAAAGCTCCATGTTCTCTGCCTTCTTTGTCAAGCAAAAAAAAAAAAAAAAAAAAAAAAGAAAAATGCATATCAAAGCTTGATCATTGTATTAATTGATAATTGAATGATTCGAAATACATTTCGATTAGATATTATTAACATAATGTATCCTAACGGTTCAATATAAGATTTTATATATATATAATTTATATTTAATGTACTAATAATGTATGATATCTATTTAATAAATAAAAAAACATAACACTTATAAATGGGTAAATTATATAAAATTAAATAAATCACACTAGTGGCTTAATTTTTCTCTAACATGAATAAAAAATGCTTAATCATTCAAATCATTAATTAGAAATCGAGGGTTGGTTCACACTAACTTTGCTTTAATTAAAAGAAATGAAGTGTTCAACCACGAGACATGTCATAGCTGACTTGTATCAACTTCAGTCTAGGTTCTTGTCAGAACAGTGGTTACATGGATATAAATCAGCAGCTTTCATCTGATGACCAAGAAAATCCTAGAGAAACTCATTCAGCCAATAGAAGGATGCCACGTGGAAGGTTTCTAGATTAGGATGAACCTACACCGCAAGTTTGGCAGTGCTGAACTGATGCCATCAAATGGCCCCTAGAGTCCAACCAAAAAGTTGTTATCACTTTGCATATAAGTCAACTGATGTGCAAGTTGCTCTGGTCTTTTTGCCCCAAGCATCAATGCATAAAGTTCAAATTGCATACAGCTTTTTTGCCTTCTCTTAATCGCTTTGATCATGATATATATTCAGCAAAGTAAAAAATACTATGTGGTCCTAATTAATAATTCCTCCAACCCTATTTTACCTGTTAAATTACTCCTTTTTCGAGCATGTAATCAAAATTTTTGCCTTTTCTCTTTTGCATATTATTTTTCATTTTAATATTAAACAATTAAAATTTTTATATTATTATCCATTATTTAAGTAACAAATACTTTTTTATATATGAAAAACCGTAATATGAAAATAGAGAAAAATATTATTAATATTGAAATTTAAATTTAAATTTATTGAATTTTATTTTTTAAAACTAATTATATAAAACAATAAAATTAAATTTCGATTCAGTTAACAAATAAGTTAGTACTAATTCTTTCTTGCATGTTGAAATGCTTACAGATGACTTATTAGATAAAGAATAATATGGCGTTAACCTGCAACATTATATGCAAACAAAATTAGGTTATGGAAATATGATATATATTGAAGATATTTGTAATATTTAATTCAATTAGTTCACGATTTTATTTTTAAATAGTAACATTCAATTTATTTAAAAATTAAATTTTAATGTCTAAACTCTATTAAAATTAATAATTAAAAATATATTGTGTAAATTAAGTATATATATATATATATGTATATATATAAGATAATCACGAAGTCGAGGATTTGTCAACAGCTAACAGCTATTCTATTTTCTGAAGTAACTAAATCTGGGTATATCCAAAAACTGGGAAAAAATAACTGCCAACGAATTTGGATAAGATCTGAGCTCATCAATCAATTTTGTCCAAAGAAAATGGGAATCTCTAGCAATGGACTGTATCTTTGTCAGGTTGCTTGAGGAAGAGGATTCTAATTAAGACATATCCCTATCAACTCCAAGTGATGGAAAGTTTTTGTAAGGTTTTAATGTTTCAATATATATTGGTGGGTTCTTTTAGCCAGATTTTGACGAGGGATTTTTATGTCAATTTTCTAGGAAAATGTGTACAAAAATTTTTAGACGGCTGCTCAAATTAATGCCATCCTAAATTGGTACTAAATGGTTTCAAGACATTCAACTCAAGGCTACAACGATCTTTAATTGTTCAAAGTAATCAATGGATTGTTCTTTGCAGATAATGATTTGATAACGAGTAATATTATTTGAGTTGGAATTTTATTTAGTTAATTTATATAATTATTTTAAAATTTGATATTTAATATATTTGAATTTAAATTTAAATATTTATAATTATTTTTTTATTTTTAAATTTGGTCTATTTTTGTATAAAAAATAATAATTTTATTTTATCCCTCAATGGAACAATTTGACTGTTAACAAAAATAAATATTTATTTTTATTAGACATAATTAAATTGTGGGTCGCACACTTGTTTAAGTGGAAAAAAAAATCAATTTAGTTTTTTTTTATAAGAAAAATTTTGAGATAAATAAGTTGTTTAATTTTTTAAATTAAGATAAAAAATATCATATTTAACAGTTTAAAATAAATAATTTTAAATCATGTATTCGAGATAATCCTAACAAATGATAATCGATAGAACTCAAATTCAAAACTCTTGATAACATAAAATCGAATCATAATTAATTGAATCAACCATTTATTGATAAATTAATATAGTGATTTACCCATGACTTGCAAAAAGAAAATAATATTTTCATCTATGAATAAACAAATACAAAAATACTATACATGGAACATGAGGGTTTGATATGCGTGAAGGAAAAGAATATGTGAGTGATGTCTAATATTGTCCAACGTATTTTTGAGTATTTGTACAAATAAAAATTAATTATATCCCTAATATTTAATTTACGTACAAGTTATGTCATTCTGATTATCAGGATATACAAAATTCCTGCCAATAAAAAAGAAAAAACATTTGGGAGATGACATGAAAAATTAGTTAGCCAATAATATAAAAACATATGGCTTTTAAATTTGACAAATTGTTAAAAATTTATATTTTATATATTATCATTTTACACATTATCAATGAATCAAATATTTTATTAATTAATAAACTTAAATTTTAAAATAAATACATGAAATCTGATTTTTTAAAAATAAATTTATTAATAAAATAACATTATCTTGTTCATAAAATTTATATATTGATAAAAAATCCAATTATTAAATTTAATCAATGGTAATATACTCAATTATTAATGACCAATTAATAAGGTGTATGTTCTTGGCAAAGTCAAAGACATTTACGCCAATTGACCAGCGATGTGCGGCAAATGCTTATGCAAGTATGCAAAAAATACGTTAAGGAGGATGCTGGAAGATTCAGTCCAGATCAGCGAAGTTCCAAGGAAAATGACTAGTTCAACCAATGACGAAGCGGCATGCGGCGAATTTTTGTTGGAGGAAGCGGCAAAAAGAAAATGGAGTCCTAATATTTTAGAAAAATAAAAGTGATAAAATTTTCTTCTTGCCGCGTTTTATTTTCTTTTTTTATCTTCTACATTTTGAAATATGTTTACTGTTTCCTATTTTTAATTTCGATTTTTCAATTTTTTTTCTTTTACACTTCATAAAAGACAATCTTCTTGCATTTCAGAAATTCTTATCTTCTCATTTTAGAATTCTAATAACCCAAAGTTTAAATTAAACTATTAAGTTGTAACCATTGAAGTTAGCAATGATTTAATGTAATTGACATCAACTAAAAAATGTATCTCCGTTTAACTTAATTTATTTATACAATTAATTTTAAATTTAATATTTAATAATTTTAAATTTTAACATTTATAATCTTTTCTCTATTTTCAAGTTGTAATTTTTTTTGTTAAAAAAAAATCAAAATTCTATACTAAGGGATCATCCATACCATATAATCCTTCATCATAAGTGCACCAAACTTAAAATACAATGATAACAATTTTATCTTCTTAATAATTTTATGTATTAAATATATTTTTAAAAAATAATATAAGTTTACCTTCTATTGTATAATTCAAAATCCAACTAATTTTTGTAAGTACAAAAAAAAAAAATCTAAACTATAAGCAATTGCGTAAAAAAAAAAAAAAATCCAGTCAATAAAATCGGATGGTGAAGGAATTATAGGGACCATGGATGGTTGATTTAATGCGAGGCGAATTAATTTGTTCTCAATTAATATATAGGATCAAACCTTGTTTTTATGCATGAGTTTGTTCTTTATTTATGGAATATCTACTGATTTTTTTTTTCAACTTCAAAATCAAACAAACAACAAAGGAAACCGTGTTCCAAAATTTCTTGCATTTCAGCTTGAATAAATCTTCACAGGTTGGCTACTGATCCCACGTTTGCTAGATAGTATTGCAAAATGTTTTCGTATAACTTGGGCAGATTATTGAAGACCAACCCCGCCTTTTGCACATTAATATATATTTTTAGTAAGTAGGAGGTTGCTAGTATTGTAAAACGTTTTTGTTTTATATTAGTATAAATTAATCCTTATATATATATATATATAAGAGTAAAGTCCACTTACATTATTGTAAGTGCTATACATTTTATTACCCTTGGATCAAAATTAAAGTTATAATACTTGCATTTACTTATTTTGATTCAAAAGTACATATATATATATATATAAAACACTTATAAATGGATATATATATATGTATGTATATGCTAGCAACTTAGAAATAGGTTTTTTTTTTTTTTAATTTCAGTATAAAACAGCTTTTGTGCTGCTTATTTTTTAAATAAGCTTTTCAGGCCAAACAATGAGTTTAATTTCAATAAATATTGTCAAATTTTATGCCAATATTCAATTATTCAGTAAGGCAAATCTATCTGGACTCTAAACCCAAATAGGGCCATGTTCCATGGCCCAACTCTCCTTATTGTGCCCTGCTATAACAACTAAAAAATATTAAATCGATGACCAGTATAAACAAAAGGAATCTCAAATCGTTGGATTTGATTTGACTCGAGCTCGGGAGAAACCGAAAATATTAAGTGAAAACTTACTAATCCAATTTTCTCCTGCGTTCATATCGCGTGACTGCTCATAA